ATTGAATATAATTTCTTAATCTGTAACCTATAAAGTTTTTTTAGAAACAGAACAATTTTTCTTTACACGATTTAATAACATGATTCTTTTTTCGTTCGCAGCTATTATTCAATGAGATTGAAAATATTCAACGTGTGGCAGCCGGTGTACTTTGCGAACTGGCAGCTGACAAAGAAGGTGCCGAAATAATAGAACAGGAGGGTGCAACCGCCCCGTTGACAGAGCTGCTACACTCCAGGAATGAGGGTGTGGCTACTTACGCAGCGGCAGTGCTATTCCGCATGAGCGAAGATAAGCCCCAAGAGTACAAAAAACGACTTTCCATGGAGCTGACGAATTCCTTATTCCGTGAAGATACAAATCTGTGGAACAATGCCGACTTCAGCATGGCTCCGGATCTTCAGGTATTGTAAAAAACGGACACAATAGTGCACGTTATTTTATCTCGTGCCGTGGCGAAATAGATTTACTTGCAAACACTATGTAACATAGAAATTTTTAGTTTTATGCATTAGCTTTGCCTTTTTATAATTGACTTTTTCCAAGTACATGCCAGGAGTCAGGTTTGTAATGTTACATAAATGAATATATTGTAGTATAGAAGTACATTAAACAACTTCTAGGTGGTTACATTGTGTTCGGTAAATTGTGCCACGTTATGGTAATAGCTCTTATTTGATTATAGAGACACTTCCCTCTAATTATTAAAAAAAAAAACCAGGTATTTATACAAGATTTTCCCCGTGTAAGATTAATTCCAAACACAGCTATTTACAAGCCATGTACATCATTTATCCAATTTGCACCACTAAATCGTCTGCAGTATTCGTTTGCGTACTATAGCGTTTAGTTTTTACTATCCTTTAGTTTTTACGTTTTAGACTTTTATCATTATATTTGCGGAGATGGCGGGTACACAATGTAAAAAATTAATTTCATAAAAATTTACATTGCTTATGAGCGAACAGTTTTAAAATGTTTGCTTTTTTCACGCAAAAATGCATTTTAATATATATTTACATTAACTTGTAAATTAAATTTCAAGCTTTACATGCTTAAGCTTTATAACATGTAGTTTATTATACCCGAGATTCAGTTATATTTCTATGACATTTTTTATATTTGTTCAAACGTGAGAGATTAAAGAAATCGACATGATCGTGCCTAATGATGACGAGATGCAGTTACAATCTTAATCAAATTGATAATTTGTAAGATTACAATATGCATGGGAATGCGTTTTGTTCCTTCTGCAGATGTTTATTTAAAAAATTGTCTTTTAATTTTTTGTATTACTTTATCATTCATGTTATTATTTGTATAAGCCCCCGTTGGTCATTTTTTTTAATTATTGTAAAACTTACCAATTATAGCGCGAATTTTGCCATATTTTGAGATGTTATGACACGCCCTCCCTTAGAAGTTATGCTTTGTGTTGACCTCAGCTACCTAATCTTCAGGACATGCTTGGCCCTGAACAAGGCTATGATGGTATGTATGGCCAAGGACCTCCTAGCGTACACAGCAGCCATGGCGGTCGGGGTTATCAACCGCAAGGTAATTTATATGTTAGCCATTTTATTCATCGAATGCTGCTTCTGAACAATCGACTTATCCGATCAAGGGTAGACGGAGTTATAAATGGTCATAAAAAACAAATCTTATTTTGTATAAAATGTGTATTTGTATAATCGTCATGACAAATTGCATTTGACGTATAATGACGGAATGACTGTATACACGATAATGCAACCTCACGAACCAATTTTGTTTGCATTATAAATACGAGGAAATTTAATAAATTTACTACTTTCTTTCACATCACTTCTAATATGAAATAATGCATTTAATCGTATGTTATTTTAACAGCAGCTTAATCCATGGACTTAAATTAAAATACAGGCTATCAACAGTTTCTCGCAGTAACATAGGTGACATTTGGTCTTTATGTATTTTTCTGGTTTTCGTTATCTGCTTGATGTCTAATTAATTGTCAATTTTAACTGCATGTTCAATGTTACATGTAGAAATTGAAGATTTGTCGAGCACGCTTATTACTATTAAATGTATTCCAGAAAAGAATCTGATAACTTAATTTTCATAACACAATGAATATGAGAACTCATTACGTGTGTAAATTGTCTTTATTAAAACTAAGAAAAATACGCAGCTACCGCTTAACATTCTTTTTTCTACAAACATATTTTCTTAATTATGTATACTTATCAATTTTATAAGTAATGGCATAATAATGAAACATATCTTAATTACCTACATAAATTTAGAATTAAAAAAGACTTTAAGAGTTAAATTATATTTAATTTTATACTTCTTATCTAATTTATAATTATCTCATTACCTCATTTACAATTATGGATGCATCGTTTAATATATATGTAGAACATTGTTTTCAAGTTATTTCACGCATGCTTACATTGTTTTGTATGCAAATACTTCTCTTATTATTTATTTCTGCTATAATACGCGCTTTATGATGATGGGATCGTATAGAAGGATGATGTTTGTAAGTAACTAAATAAAAAAGAATTCCTGCATTTATTCCCCAAGAGGAAGTATTATAAATATTTATCAATTTCTTGAAAATTAATTGAAAATATTTAATACTTTTTTGTATTTGTCTGATACGTGCGCGGTGGTATGTGAAATATCGAGCTTCAATATTACGTGACTGTTGTATTACTTAATTTTAGTAAAAAGTTCAAGAATTTTTTAATTTGTTCACATTTGTTCTCAATTTGTTCTCTACATATCTATGTGTGATTATTTAGTATTATCAGAAAGTAATTCTTTTGTCATTAAATAATTTGTTTGATACAACTAGACAAAGATTTGTAATGAAAAATTATCATAATATCAATTAATTAAATTAATTAAGTAAATATGATAATTATTAAATATAATTTCAGCGTTATATAATAATCATATAAAATATATAAATTGATTAAACGATAATTAGTAAAAAATATGTAATCAGTTTAAAGACATACAGCAAACTCTATATCTCGTAAAGCTAAACGATTCAAAATACTTTGCTAGTTATGCTCCACTGATTAATAACGTTTCTGCACTTCGCGTGCAGTGTGTAATTTTTATCGATGTAATTGCCGAACAAAGAACAAATGAATTTTTTTATAAAAAATAATTTTTCTTGCAACAGGTTATGACCAGATACCAGTAGATTCGATGCAAGGATTAGAGATAGGTGGTGGATCGACATATGGCGCAATGGACACTATGGACGTGGCGCATGATGGTGACTTGAGTTTCGATCACTTGGAAGAGCTTCCTGCACCGCCGCAAGATAACAACCAGGTCGCAGCCTGGTACGACACCGATCTCTGAATCCGTGCCATTTTCGATCTCACGAGACAGCAAGGGAATTCAAAAAGCAGGAGCATTATTTTAAAGTATTAAGCGAACTTTCATAGTAGAGTCTCGATTATCCGAGCACTACGATTGAATGTCCGCATTCTAAACTCAAGAGTCAGAACCAATTGTCCCGATCTTTCCTAATAGTTCTCATTTTTATTTTCATGACGCATGCGTACAATGAAAATGTGTCTGTTATCCCTCTTTTTTTAGCTTACTTTTTTAAAATCATTTTCTTGCCGATTTATGATCGGCATTCAAACCGAGCGTTGACGATTGTTGAGTGAATGACATGCCAAGCGATCACGCAATGCTTGGTATCCCGATTCATGATATAGATGACTTTGAATAGTGTACTTTAAGACTTACGAACGATCGTATCTTAATAATTAATTAAATGACGCTCGGGAAATCTCGGGATTCATGTTCGACATAAAGTAATACCGATTGGTGACTATCGTGTCTCGACTGTCTGTCGGTCCGCGAGAAGTCACTCTCGAATATAAAAAATCGGTTAGTCGCGCTATAGTTGACATCTTCCTATAGTCCACGTTCGTTTCGTCAGACGGAAAATGAAACATTCGCGCTAATTCATATCGACCCAAAAAAATATATCGCCTGTATGTAATCGCCTAATATGATCATTCACCCGAACATATAAACATTATATCGATGTATTAGAATTAAGGAAGACACATGTAATTCGTACACACATGTATATGTATCGTTTAATTGTCTATACAAATAAACAACAATTAAGCGACCAATGCTTTGCTTCTGTTTTTATAATAGAAACCAAATTGTGCTAACTGTGGAAATATGATTACAATCAGTTTTGGTAGAAGTAATTACAGTACAATTGTCTAAAATAAATGGCAATTTTAGAAACCGCAATTATTGTTTTTTTCATTAAATTGAATTTAGGTAATGATTTACCTAACTTCATATAATTATAAATTTCTTAACGTATAAATCTAAATAAATTATAATTAATTTAGACACGAGTAAAATTAATTTATTTTCGAAATAGTTTGTAAATTGAAACATCGATGAATGTTTCGTAAATGATGGGATATTCGAATACAGTCATCGGTTATATATCGATATTGAGGATCGTTCACTTTGATGTTAATATGCTATAGGAAAATAATTTCAGCGAGACTTTCACTTGCCAGTCTCGGCGGGAGCGTTTACTACGTCCCGAGATAAGACGGTACGCGACGTTGACACGTACAATTTGTCGCGAGACCGTCTTCGTTTTCTTCTTTTCGTTTCTCTTCACTTCTGGTCGGAGAAGGGTTCCACATACGGCACCGCCGCTTGGGTCATCAATCGTTGGTCGACTCTCGCACGGTGTTGTATACCACGGTTGCTTCGAAGACTCGCGTATCCCGCGTTAACGGTTGTTTCTTAATGCGACACGAAGAAAGGAGGCTTGTCCCTCGAGCCGTGTTTCTTCGAGTACGGAAGGCGCGTTAAGAATCAGTCTGCTCGTCGAAGCGGCCACTTCCGGACAGCTGTCGGCCGAGGGTAGTTCTGTTCTCCGAGTAAAAACAGCGTTTTGCATGATGAAGAGACCAATCGACGTAAATTTTCTCGGATAAAGTGACCGACTTTTGCAAAAGTTTTAATTTTTGAAGAATAAGAACCGCAATTGGTGCGTGGAGGAAGGTGGTTCTACTGGATTCAGGAATTAAGTCTCCTTGATAAAGGTGAGTCTGTTATTTGTTATCGTGATATTTTTTATGTTCTCTTAGCCTCTTTCAACTGATCTTTCCGCATTCTTTGTCTCAGTATATTTTCGTGACTTAAAATAATCACGGTAGGACTCAGCTTAAAATCTTCGATATTTTATAATGCGCGGTAATAATATTCAGAAATGCGAATAACGCAAACGTCAATTTTTTAACAAAAATACTTTTTAACTTATAGCGATTAATATACTTTTAAAATATTTTTGAGTGTCAAGGTTGAATACAATTACTGTGTATTGCTAATTAAAAATATTAATTCTATAATAAGTAATAAATTATACTCAATTATAGAACTTAATATATATTACTAAGTTTATGTAATGATTAATTCATATTAATCAATTGCAGTTAGAATAATGTCAATAGCTGCCAATGTGATAATTTGACATATTAAATAATAAAAATTGCAATACAAATTGTGAACGAAAAACTTGTGAAAAAAATTCTAGGATGTATCATAAGTCATAATAATAATATTCAATACCAATCTGCCGATGAGAATCGATTATGTGCAGATTTTTATGCGTGCGTGCGTGTGTGTGTGTGTGTGTGTGTGTGTGTGAAGTATATATTATTCAAAGAATTTTATAACGGTACAGTGTAATCTTCACTGCTGAATTCCTATCTAAGTATGGTTTATCATGATTTCTATTTGTGTCTTGAATATACCGTATTTGCGTTTCATTAGAGATGCACGGATTACCGTTGCTTTCGTAATAGAATCAGAGCAATCAGCAGATACGTTTAAACGTGAAATTGAATCGATATAGAAACATCAAACAAATGATTCTATCTACATGTAAATTCTTAAAATATTATTGGCTAATATTGCATAGTAAAAATTATACACGTAAATATGATATGTTACGCATGTGAATGATTTATATTTAAAAAACTTATATATAATGTGTGTGTGTGTATGTGATTAGATAAAATATATTTAAGATAAAATAATTTCATATCCTCATCTATGACATTAGCCTTATTATTTTTGTGAAATATATTTTGATATATATATATATATACAAGGTGTTAGTCAAGTATATTGCCATATTCAACAGAGCAATACTTTGGTTTATTTCAAGTAAAAAAGTCCATATCACGTGAAGTCCAATTCGCGTAAAACAAGGCATATTTATACAGGAAGATCTCCAACGCAATTTACTGTTTCGTCAAACATTGCGAACATTCACCTGTATTTCGGAAACTAAGTCGTTTAGGACACATATTTATATGAACTTGAAATAAACCAAAGAATCGCTCTGTTGAGTATGACAACATACTTAACTAACATTCTGTATATATGATTTTTCAAATCGTATATAATTTTTTGTATATACGCATAAAATTATAAAGAATAATTTTCCTTAAATTCTGAATTCTCTACAAATTATGGATTATACTAATAAGCTTTATTCCATTTCATAATATTAATCTATTCATATTATCGAACAATATGCAATGACGTAAAAATAATTTAATTGAGAGAGAAAGTAAAAAAATATTTTATACCTTTTTGATACACTTAATTTAATGCTTCACCGATGGAATGGTGGAAAACATGCATATTAATTTCATTACATTGATTCTAAAACCTGTCTCGTTACCCTTGAAATAAAATAACTGGCACTAATATGTAAGTGTGTGTGTGTCTTTGCTTGATATAGTGTACCAAAAAGTTTCTTTCCGTGCAACAAGGCTCGTTCTCTTTCCAAGCAAAGCAAGTGCTTCTAAGTCATTTTTCATATTAAAATGGGTCATTATGTTGAAGAGGTAGAAGTACTGATTGTACATATATTTATAATTAATAAATTAATTTTATATGTATATGCTAAAAAATAAACGATTTATTAAAAATATTCGGAAAAAATAAACTTGACGAGATACATATCTCTTACACATGCGATAATATTGAAGGAACAAATTTTATTTGTAATCTCATTAAGAGATCTGAATAGTATCTTGTTTAAATACTCGTATCTTCATATGTATGCCTACCAGGGCATCGATAATAATAACGTGAAAGTGCACTACGACGTCACTTCAGAATAATTCTATGTCGTGCTTAACTTGAGATACTGTGGAAGTAAATTACTGTAAACTCTTCGTCTGATCAAAAAGTTCATTTTACTTGCGACATCGTGCGTAGTTGTCTCTTTAAATAGTTTAAATATCTCAGGCACCTGCACAAGATTTGCCGTTATGCGCTTCCGACACATCGAACAGCACGTATTGTCGCTTGTAACATCCATAGTATAATTAGCAGCAAAGTGCAAAGTCACACAAAAGATAGCGGGAAGACGAGTAGAAAAAGGAAAATAGCACAAAAGAAGATATAACAGATCTTAACATAAGCAAGAAAATAAATGGCGAGAGTTCGAAAAGAGACGAATATAATGAAAGGTATTTAAGTCTATACATAGAATACATAGAATATATAGAAAATCAAAGAAAAAGAAACGGGACCAAACGCGATTAAAATGAAAGAATGCAGAACTCAGATGTATATAGGAAGGAATAAAGAAAAATCAAAGAAAAACCACTAAAATGGGAAATTAAAGGGAAGTGTAAACGGGAGAATAAGAAGAGAGACGAGAGAGACATTCATGCTGTGGACTCCGGATCAGTTTGTAACTGTGGGCTATTGTGCGCACGGACGTCCGTGGAAAACTGTTAATGACGTGAAAGTGCATCCACGAGGAGCGAGGAAGCAGGTAGGTAAGCAGACCGCCGTTCTCCTGATAGTCTTGCCTCGATAGTTTCCCCTGGATTGTAGCCGGGTTGGCTTGGAGAAATTGTCTGTATCGCCTGATTAAAGTAATAAATGTCAAGTTTAGTCTTCCTCGAATGCATTTTCGCCAAGAGTTCGTTTTTTTTTTCTCTAACACACACATTCGAAGATGATCTTCGGACAATTTTCATTGACATCATATCGAATGATGCGTAGTGAATTGTAAATTTCGTAAAGTAGACAAAAACCATTACATAACGTATTTAAAATATCATTACATAAGGCATTTAAAATATTTAAATATTTAAAATAATGCAAATAGTTATACTGCAATATGTAAATATACCTCAATAATAGATAGCAATTGGCAAACTTTGAATGAATTAATTTTGATAAGACGAAAAATGGGAAGCTAATTTTTAAGTTATGTGTATATCGTAAAGTAAAACTGTCGATGCATAAAAAATACATTTTATTATTTTAATACTGCAATACCTGGAAAGTGATGCTTCTTACTTACATAATACAATCAGATTATACAAAATAAAAAAAATATGAAATTGACAAAGTATAATATGGTAACAAGATTATAAAATAAGGACTTTTCTTCTATGACGCAAGTCTTGCCTGATATCGTTCCGACATCTGCCGCAATGAGACTAGTTGCATTTCCTTTGACCTTCTCAACGGTAGGGTTTTTTTTTATAAGGTTGAGATATAGTCTTTTAGTATGAATTGATTACGCAAATGATTACGATAAAATTTTTAATAATTTATTAATTTTATCAGAACAATAAATTGTAAGATTTCTAACTATCTTATTGCAACAATTTCGCTTTCATTAAATAATGATAGAAAATGATAAGAAATAATATTTTTTTGAAACATAAAAAGTAAAACATAAATTACAATAGGAAACGATAAGATTGTTGGCAGATCTTATCGATTCCTATCATTTTCTATCTTGTTTTTTTTTTATAGACAAGATTAACGCATTAATATTATATCAGAAGTGAAAATAATATTGTAGCAAAAAATAAAATAAGGTTATATTTGAAAATATGAAATGCAAGTAATTACATCCAATGTGTAATATATATCAAATATGAAACGTATTTCTGGACTCTTAGAGAAACAAGTAGGGATACAATTACTAGAATAAATGTTAATGACGGTAACACAAAAGGTTTTGATCGTATCAAAAAAAAAGCTGGAATGGCTACTCTCATACTTCTAATTGGCATAACTATTTCCTTTTTCTTCATTTTTCTTAAGCCACAGCTTATTCCGAAGCAACATGCCTTCCTTCGCTAAACTTAAAACTTAAAACTTAAAATATTTTAATACTATTGTATTTTGTCAGACAGTAGCTCTCGAATGATCACAATTAAATAATGTTGTCAGAGTTAATGCCTTTGGTCTTTATGCTCCAGTCGCTTACAACTGTGCCTATCTTCTCTGGACACTGAGACAGAGTCACCATCTTCATCTTGCAATGACATCCTCTCGAAACAGCAACATATTTTTTGTGGACGAATAGCCGTATCAATCAGAGCTTGTCGAAGCACCTCAATTTCTTTTCGAGCTAACATTAACTCTCGCTCAGCAAGTTCTTTTTCTCTTCGGCACAATTCAGCCTCTCTCCATATCATATGAATATCAACAAAGTATTTTGTCGGGTTTATCTCCTCTGTGACACCCGCTGCCATTTTGGTCCCTTCAACTCGATTGATATTATCGGCAAAGTTTCTTGTCGCGTTCGTCACCTCTGCAGCACTTGCTACAGTTTTGGCCTTTCCAAATTGAAATGTTCCTATATATCCTTTCGAAATATCACCAAGAAAGTTTCTTACTGCCGCGTTCGTCTCCTTTGTGGCATTCGCTACCGCTTTGGCCTCTACAAACCAAATCATATTTACATCAGTAGAATTTCTTACTGTCGCGTTCATCGATGGCACCCGCTGTCACTTTTGTCTCTGCAAATCGAATTATATTTACATCGGTAAAGTTACCTGCTGTCGTGTTCGATGCTTCTATGGCACTTGCTGTCGTTTTGGTGTCTTCAAATCGAATCGCATTCATATTTGTAGAGCTTTTTGCTGCTGCATTCATCGCTTCAGCAGCACCCGCTGTCGTTTTAGTGTCTCCAAATTGAAACACATTCATATTAACAGAGGTTTTTGTTTCCGCGTTTGCCGCCTCTGTGGTACTCGCTACCGTTTTATCTTCAACAAACCGAACCATATTTACATCAGAACAATTTCTTACGCGGAGTCTATAATAGAACTCGTAGCGGTCGTAGGGTCATAAGTCGTAGAAATTTAACTAATCACAGTCAAATACGAGAAAAATAATTGATTATGATTGATCAATTTTTTACGATTTAGAAATTCTACAATTGCTTCAACTTTTATATTGTAAACTCCGTATCAAGGCTCTTCTACATAGAAATCGTAGACGATTGTGGGGTCTTAAGTCGTAGGAAATTGATCAATCATAGTCAAATATAAGAATATTCGACTAAAATTGGTCAATTTCTTACGACTTGAGACTCTACGAGTGTCTATGATTTCTATGTAGAAGCCTTTATTGTCGTATTCATCAATCCTACAACACTTGCTATCATTTTTGTCTCTGCAAGTCGAATTATATTTACATCCCCTGATGCAAAGTCTACGGAGACAGATTTTGAGCAGGACCTGCTATCAATTTTTGATTATAGAAAGGCAAAAAATTGTACATAGACCTTGTATTATTTGACAATTGTTAGCAAATTGCTGTCATAAAAAATATGATTCTGCAAAATTAATATTAGGTTGAGTAAAAAGTCATCGCGTTTTTGTTAGCTCAAAGTTGTATACACAATATCTTCGTCAATAATGAATGAAATTCAAAAAGGGTTTTAAAGCTTGAAATCTCTACTTTTAAAAGCTTATCACATTTTTTAAGTTTATATGAGTTTGATAATTTTTACATACCAAAAACTACGAGCTGAAAAAGACGAAAAATTTTCTTCTCACTTTGTGGATTTGTAACATGTCCAAAACGAATTTGAGAAAATTTTCGATTACCTATCGTGAAAGCTTGATACTTTCCCTACAAAATCGTTTTTTTTAAATATTCCTACGACTTTTGATTACTGAGTTATCGCGGATTAAATAAAAGAATTATTTTGACTTTAATTGCTCATAACTCCATTAAAAATTGTCGTATCGTATAATTTAAAAAAGAGATTTTTAAAGCTGAAACTTTACTCTATCAAGATATATTTATATTGTTGGTAAGAAAGTAATTGCGGGTTTTACTGATAGATGTCTTTTAAAAAAATGACTTTTTACTTAACCTAATAGTAAAAATCGAACAAAGTTCTGCATAACCTGACGGCAGATTGAAAGCATAATCTAATTCGAGCAAACTTTGCTCGATTTCTGTCAACACAGCCTGTCAACAGGCATTGTCAACAAATGCATAACCAAATACAGACACAGATGGCTATCTGATTGAGTTTACTGCCAATTTAACCCCAAATTGCTAATATTTTGCTATCAGGGGATCGATAGAGTTACCTGCTGTCGTTGCTTCTGTGGTACCTGCTATCGTTTCTCGAAATTGTGTATTCATATTGGTAGAGTTTCTTGCTGCCGCTTTCGTCGCCTTCGCTATCTGTCTAGGATATCCAAATAAAGATCGTACTTTAGTGCTTTTATCCTCGACGGAGAGTTTTGTTGCCGCGTTTTTCACCTCTGTGGCACTCGCTGTATCATTTTGATTTCCATCCTGCCGAACTATATTTACATCAGTAAAGTTTCTTATGTTGTTTCTACAATGATCCGGTAGTCCTAGGAGATTCTTCCCCCACCACGCGTTACCAAGTAGCGGAAACTGGCATCACATCACCGATAAGAGGAGTTTCTGAGTCAGTGAAGTCGACCAATAGTTGCCAACGATTAACTCTGATTGGCCAACTTCACTATTTAGATTAAGATTAAACGTCTATTTTCTATAGCTCTGAACTAATGTATGGATATACACTTTTGAAATTTAAAGTGAGATAGTATGTTTGATATTTGTTTGATTATGTTCGAAATCGAGAAAGAGTTCTAAGTGCAGTCTAGTGGACTAGGAACAGAAAACAGATCACCTGACTTCCGACTACACTAGTACAGACTTACAGACATCATTGCAGAATCAACATTACTGTTGCATTCATCGATTCTTCGATATCCACAGTCATTTTTGTCTTTGTAAATCGAGCCATAGAAGATGCTATATCGAGAAAAATATGAAGGAAGGTTTATATCAAGAAAAATGAATGAAAAGCAGTTTATTTCGCATGAAGATCGGTCGATGTCGGAACGCATACGAAGTATTATCGAAGGTTTATATCGAGTAAATGAGAAGAATGTTTCGAGCCGGTTTAAGTCGTATGAAATTAAAGAAGAGGTTAGCGCAATATATTTTTTCCCATAAATTTTATAGTGGTATGACTGAGAAACACAGGAATCGTCTTAATTTTCAATCCTGTTTTCTCGCATTCATTTATTCATATATTATTTAATTTTCCGTAACTAAATTTGTGTAATTTACGAGTAGTGAATATCGCGCTATATAGATCCTTCTAATTTTATGCGCGACTTGAGCCGTTCTTCTTATTTTCTCAATATATAAACCGTACTTCGTATGCATTTCCGATATAAACCGGTTTTTACGCTTCACGTGAAATAGACCGCTTTTCATTCATTTCTTGACAGAGATCTTTCTTCATATTTTTTTCTTTGTAGCACTTTCTACGGATTAGGCGTCGAAATCGAATTATATTTACATCGGTAGAGTTGTTTTTCTGCTTCTGTGGCACCTGCTGTCGTTTTGGTGTCTTCAAATCGAATCGCATTCGTAGAGCTTGTTGCTGCTGTGTTCATCGCCTCTATGGCATTCGCTACCGTTTTGGCCTCTACAACGGAACCACTTTGACATCAGTAGAGTTTCTTAGAGTAAAGTCCCATGAGGCGTATTTGCTTTACGTATAACTGCGTAAGTCTTGATCCACAACCTTGCTTTAAGAGGCTTTAAGTCATAAGTCGAAAGAGATTAAGTGACAATAATTTCTGGCTTTAAACTGTTTTTGCAGTTTTTAGACTTTAACTGTTAGATTTCAGCGAATTGAGTAAAATCCAATTTCTTAGTTAGGTCCAAAAGCATAAGTTTTGTGACCGATATATCGTCACTTATAACTTACGACTTCTTAAAGTAAAGTTATGGACTAATCAATCAATAATTAGAATACACGAAACAATATCAGCCGATCTCTTTTGACTGATTACGCGATTCGCGGTAAATATCTACACTAAACCTCATGAATCACGGGACTCCACTTTAAGATATCTTTACATGGGAGCATCAAGCGTCGAGTATCAGAGCATGCGCATTGTGTAGCAATATATTAAATAATTTTACTGAAATACCTTGGATTCAATTAGCCCTTATACGACACTTTGTCACCAAACACTGATTGATGAAAAACGGCTGATGGGAGTAAATTTTACCTCCACAACCGGCTTTTCATCAATCACCGTTCGGTGTCAGAGCGCTGTTGATGAGAATCCGGGCTTTACATTACAGTTTCACAACATCATACTAGAACTTTGACCGATATCTACCTAGAGGATCTCTAGACTTACCTGCTGTTGCGTTCGTTGCTTTTGTAGCACCTGCTGTCGTATTGGTGTTTTCAAATCGAATCAGATTCATATCCGTAGAGTTTCTTGCCGCGTTAGTTACCTTTGCGGCATCCGCTGTTTTGGTATCTTCAGATCGAATCTTACTTACATCGGTAATGGTTTCTGTTGTCGAATCTGCGGCATGCGCTACCAGTTTGGTATGTGTGAACCATTCGTCGTCCATCGTAGGTTTCTCGCAAGCCGTGATCCTGTTCCTCTCAGTATTCATTGTTTGCACATGGGACTGATACGGCGTGTCTGCTTGCAACCGATTTATTAAGTCCGCCTTTATACCAGTGACTGGAAGGTTCCTAGCTCTCAATTGCGTCTGTAATTGATGTACAGTACAATCCCACAGTTTACTTTCCTTTGATATTTTTGTATAAGACGAATTTGTATAAGATTGATATGACGAGTTTGTTTGCAACCGATTTATCAAATCTGCCTTTAAGCCAGTGACTGGAAGGTTCCTACTTCTCAGTTGTTGCTTTAATTCTTCCACGGTAAAATTATTCATTTGAGTAATCGTTTTTTAGTCACTCAAACACGACAACGATTGTTCACACTTGAAACGAATACCAAAATTCTTATCAAGATTGTTTCGTTTCTAATTTTGGACAAGTCCTCAAATTATTGTATATAAATTTTTTTTTTACATTACTTTAATTATAAAATAATATAAGATCAAGGAAAAACCTGCTCGGTTCACAATATATCATTTAATATCGTTCGCGATATTTATCTGTGTCAATCCGCACTTATAACACTAATACGTTTAGTAATCATAATAACGATTGATTGTACTCGTGTGTTATGACTTTTGCCCACCAAACGCAGAAGTATTTATCGTTCGCACGACATGGCTATACGATACGTTATGTACTGATATAACACAATACAGAAGTATATCAGAATGATGCGCATTATCCCTGCTCCTGTTTTTTTCTGATTTCTGCGACGTAAATTCCCGTGCGTAATACCTCGGCGTAATTATCTCATAAAGAATTGAGGTTTACGCCGAGGTATTATGCACGGGAATTTACATCGCAGATATGAATCATAGATATAATACTAAGGATTGGTAAGGATCCATCTATCCAAATTTATATAACGTAAAGAAAATTATCCAATCACATTTTATGTACGTCCTTATAATAAAAATACGCTTGGATAATTTATGTATATTGTTACGCAGTTATATATTATATGCAAGCTTGTCTGAGGCAGTTGGAATAGTAATTATAAATTAAATATTAATGCTGAGTATCTCAATATTAATGCTGAGTTTAAAATACCGTAAAGTTAGAGTATTTTGTTAACAATAATTTAAAAAAGATGTTTATTGACATCAATATCTAATTCGCAATATTACTATTACAGTTTCAATTTAAAATTGTTTCAAGACCGATAGTATTAGCGTAGTTTTGCAAAATTGAATGTATATAAATTCACACAGAAGTATTATTAAAAAGCACAAATATGTACATTAATTCTGATCGAAGCTTATTTTTATTTATTGTTAATGAAAACTATGAACAGTATTTTCTAAATTTTAACACGAATTACAGATTATATTGAGCTTTAATGCTTATTTTATAATAATAATCCATTGATATTATCAAATAATGTGCACTGACATAAAAAAAATTAGTTCAAGAGATTTTTCTAAAAAAAATTCATGACATATTATTTTATTGCACTGAATACAGGATACTCAGATCGTTCTCCTTCTAAGCAGAACAAGTATTTCCAAGCTATTTTCATATTGAAATGGATCATGAATGGATCAAAATACATGAGTCTTCTTTTTGATCTTTTTATCGAGAAATATTTATTGTATTTGTAAGTAATAAATTGATTTTATACAAAAAATTAACAATTCACTATTACTAGAATTTCTAGAATAACATCTAGAATGGAACATAGCGTTTTATTCTAACATTATTACTTTATAAGTTTCTAAAGAATTTTTCTTTAGAAACGCTATACATATATACGAGTATGAATATACTTGTATAAATTGAAAAACGTGCTAATGAATGTATGTATACGTATATGCATATTAATACAATGTAATCGATACTTCAGGCAAGTGATGCGCAACTTTCCTAAGGATCATTTTCAATAGTCATTTTCAAAAATAGAAAATAAATTATGGATCGCATAGTGTTTATTTTGTTTGTATAACATAAAAAGTACGATTTTATATTTCTGGCTATGCCGATGGGCCACAAAAATAAACAAGCCGCACGTTGAGCATCACTACTTTAGGCTATAACAGAAAAAAATATGTGAACATAAATATATATATAATTATAATGTAAATATATATGTTTATTTTTTTATTTGTGGCACGTACCAGAATGTTTTTATCACCAGCATTTTAAAATAGGTGTAGCCTAATTCCATTTTATATTGGGAAAATGAAATTTACGTCGACCGTAAATACCGTGTGGCAGTTTTGATTCTGCGAATAGGGTCATAACGGTCATTTTCAGACTTCTCCCTAGCATAAGTATTTCTTCTTTCTTCATTTTTTTTGTTGCATTCGGCGGCGATATGCCCGCTATTCTTGAAATGGTACTTAGCATCCTTGTACTTTATTCGACAGTTAGCTTCCGAATAATCACGTTGACCATAATTAAAACAACAGCTCGGTGTTTTTGGCTGCTCTCTCTCACGTTCCGTTCGCTTAGTATCTTTATTCCGCTTGACCGAGACATCATCATCGCTATGTCGATCTTCCAACGGTTTATGAAAATAGCGGCTTTTCTCTTGTGTACGGACATCTGTATTTACCTGGACTTGCTGAATCTTCTCGAGTTCTTTTTTAATCAATGCCAATTCCCGCTCAACAAGCTCTTTTTCTTTCCGATTTAATATAGCCTCTTTCCGATTTAACATAGCCTCTTTCCGATACAATTCAATCTCTCTCTGAATGATACTTATATTGGTAGAGTATCTTATTGCTGCCGTTATATCCGTTGTTTGCTTTCTTTCTTTTTCACTTAATATAGCGTTTGATTTCTTTATTGTCTGAGACTGATATTGTTGGTCTGCTTGCAATCGTCTTATTAAGTCTTCTTTCAATCCAGTGATTGGTAGTCCCTTAAATTTCAGTATTTCTTTTAATTCTGACAAGGAGTAATCGCTCCACTCACTTTTGAATTTGATTCTTCCTTTCTTTCTCTCATTCTCACTCTCACTCTCTTTCTCTCTGTTTATTTCCATATTCACTTAGAAATAACGATGTGGCAATTGTTCACACCATGAACAGTCAAATTCTTTTCGAACTCGTCTCACTTCCGTTCCCGCGAAATCTTAAATTATAAAAATTTCTTTCTTTTAATCGTTACTTTAATTACTATATAATATTATATAAAATCAAAAACCCTCTCGACTCGCGATACAAATCATAGTCACCATCTCAATGTCAATACCGCGATATTTATAGATATCGGTCTCATAATCAACTTACGTTAGTTCCCTAATACGTCAACAATCGCGCTCGCACATTGTTTTGAGAGTAAGACGCGAAATCTAAATCTCTACAGTATTGTAGGGCATTAAAATATCTAATCATAATTCGTGCCCAGTGTAATTCTTTTGATGACTCGCGTCTCTTTTGACGACTTGCCTCGATAACAATTCATGAGTTTCTCCATCAATGACTAATGAGTCTCCGTTTTCTAAATCCCTTTGTTACGATCAAAGCACCAATACACGTCATGCGCCTTCCTTTGACCGAGAAAGAAGCACATACAGATATAGCTGGAAACATAAACTAACTTTTGGCTTTTTCGATTAGCTAATTAAATTATTCATTTTGAGTAATCGTTTTTTAGTCACTCAAACACGACAACGATTGTTCACACTTGAAACGAATACCAAAATTCTTATCAAGATTGTTTCGTTTCTAATTTTGGACAAGTCCTCAAATTATATAAATTTTTTTTTTTACATTACTTTAATTATAAAATAATATAAGATCGAGGAAAAACCCGCTCGGTTCACAATATATCATTTAATATCGTTCGCGATATTTATCTGTGTCAATCCGCACTTATAATACTAATACGTTTAGTAATCGTAATAACGATTGATTGTACTCGTGTGTTATGACTTTTGCTCACCAAACGCAGAAGTATTTATCGTTCGCACGACATGGCTATACGATACGTTATGTACTGATATAACACAATGATATACAGAAGTATATCAGAATGATGCGCATTATCCCTACTCCTGTTTTTTTCTGATTTCTGCGACGTAAATTCCCGTACGTAGTATCTCGGCGTAATTATCTCATATCAAGAATTGAGGTTTACGCCGATGTATTACTCACGGGAACATCGCAGATATGAATCATAGATAAATACTAAGGATTGATAAGGATCCATCCATCCAAATTTATATAACATAAAGAAAATTATCCAATCACATTTTATGTACGTCCTTATAATAAAAATACGCTTGGATAATTTATGTATATAGTTACGCAGTTATATATTATATGCAAGCTTGTCTGAGGCAGTTGGAATAGTAATTATAAATTAAATATTAATGCTGAGTATCTCAATATTAATGCTGAGTTTAAAATACCGTAAAGTTAGAGTATTTTGTTAACAATAATTTAAAAAAGATGTTTATTGACATCAATATCTAATTCGCAATATTACTATTACAGTTTCAATTTAAAATTGTTTCAAGACCGATAGTATTAGCGTAGTTTTGCAAAATTGGAAAATGTATATAAATTCACACAGAAGTATTATTAAAAAGCATAAATATGTACATTAATTCTGATCGAAGCTTATTTTTATTTATTGTTAATGAAAACTATGAACAGTATTTTCTAAATTTTAACACGAATTACAGATTATATTGAGCTTTAGTGCTTATTTTATAATAATAATCCATTGATATTATCAAATAATGTGCAATGACAAAAAAAATTAGTTCAAGAGATTTTTCTAAAAAAAATTCATGACATATTATTTTATTGCACTGAATACAGGATACTCAGATCGTTCTCCTTCTAAGCAGAACAAGTATTTCCAAGCTATTTTCATATTGAAATGGATCATGAATGGATCAAAATACATGAGTCTTCTTTTTGATCTTTTTATCGAGAAATATTTATTGTATTTGTAAGTAATAAATTGATTTTATACAAAAAATTAACAATTCACTATTACTAGAATTTCTAGAATAACATCTAGAATGGAACATAGCGTTTTATTCTAACACTATTACTTTATAAGTTTCTAAAGAATTTTTCCGAGCAAGAAGCCGAACAAGAAGACCGAGAAAGAAGCACATACAGATATAGCTGGAAACATAAACTAACTTTTGGCTTTTTCGATTAGCTACTAAAGGCGATATTCATAATCCGTTCTTATTTCACGACAGTCTTGAGTAATGTCTTAAGACGCTAATAGGATCCATAGATTGGTTCATGACTTCTTAAGACTGCAGTTGAATCTGTGCACTTTGTGTGTTCTGCGCGTATATTCTCTCTACAAACAGATGGGATATATAAAACATTAATCTAAATAAAAAATACACGAGTTAAGCACTTGTATTATATTTTGCTATACTTTATCCTTTATTATTTGTCTACAGTTATATCGTAAAATAACTATTAAGCCTTTTATATTTCTTATAGCAATCATTTTATGATCAATTTATTGATTTAATTTACAATAACTTCGTTAACATTAACAATAAAAGACCGTAATCATAACGTCGCGTCGCTGTTGAGATTTTCTCCGGTTTTAAGGTAAACGCATCTAAGCAATTTACCCGGGGATCGGAGATCAGGTTGTGCGGTTAAGGATGCTAAATAGGAAGAATTGGATAATTGCTCGGAAGGGTAAATTTGAACCCGGTGCCAAAAAGATCGCGAAGCTTATAGGCGAATCTGCGAGGATCGGTCTTTTGAATGTCCTTGTAATTAGGAAACGCGAGGTTGATTTCCAACCGTTTGAGGGAATATATATAATACTTTCGCCGAATGAGTCTTGCGGGTTTTTTTGGTCTAGGAACTGCGCTAACTTTTGGAAATAGGGGAAAGGATCGTGGTTTGAATTTTGAGAGTTATTTTTATTTGAAATCTCAATCTCTTTTCTCACTGTCTTCGTCCGCCTTTAGTTGGCATGGAGGTAGCGCAAAGAAAATATTAATGATTCGAAGGAGTGTCGTAAGATGGGGGCCACGCTATTGGCAGCGACAGTCACAACAGCTCCTCGGATACTCACGTATATATATAGTTTAATAAGACGCAGAGCAGAGATTCAGGTTTCAGTCGATTCAGTTTAGTATTCTCGTTTAATAAATAAGACAAAACAAGGAAAAGAAAAGAAAAAAATAACGAGTAGGTTACGACGAAGCACGAGGATAGTTCTCACTTTGATTTCTAATTATGTCGGATAAGTTCTACTTTTGCTCTTTTACACGCTCTTTTTCTGCTCTTCCTGCTTTTGGCAGTTTCTTTTATATTTTGGAAATGAATGTGGGAATGTCCCTTCAGGACCAATCAATGTTCCTCAAGGTTTAGTAAAACCTATACTCGCGCTTGTTTCCTTAAGATAAGGCAGCAAGGCTCCTCGTAGCCCTACTCCCAGTTTTACAAGTTCAATCTTAAGATAATAGTTGAGAGTTTTAATAATTTATAATAAAAATTCAGTTTTACTTAACTAACATCCTTATGCGAGGCGAAGTAATGATATATTCTAAATTTTAAATTAGTTTTAATTTTATGGAGAAAAAGAAAAAAGGAAAGAAAGAAAAAAGAAAAATAAAAATATTTCATCCTCGCATTCGGGAAGGTTTTAATATATACTGTTATTTAATATATAATGCTACTTAATATATAATACTACTTAATTATTAGGCATATGTGCTATTGTTTAGTTATTATTTAAAAAAAAGAAACCTTCAAAGAAAAGGGAAGATTGTAGAATAGATATTCTTTATCTATGTGACGCGTGAGCTATCCGTTGGTTTGAATGTTTAAATAAAGAAACTAAATATGCCCTGCTATAAAAGGGAAAAGAATTTTACAATATATAAAAGGTATGATAAAGTTTCGAAATAAAGATAAAATAGGGACAAAACCAAGACGAAATACTAAACTAGAGATAACATAAAGGTAAGGTATAAATCGTATATTTATAATAAGGAAAGAGAGAATTTTATCGGGATGTAACATAACACAATATTAATTTGTAACATAAAGATGTATAACAGTGATTGCGTGCACATTACTTCACGTCTTTTTATTTTTTTCTAATTTCTGCGGCGTAAATTCCGAAGTTACCTTAATTACCAGAGAAGTTAACAAAGCAATGGAAAAGACTCGGGAAACATGAAGACGAGTAATCACAGATAAAAAAGATAGATAGCATAAAAGGAGTAACAGTTTTTAAATTAAGCAAAAAAAAATAAATGGCGAGAATTGAAAGAGACATAAACGTAAAGACTGAAGGTAATTAAACCTATAAATAGAAAGCAAAAGAAAAAGTAGTAACGGGACTAAAATAAAAGATTGCAGAGTTCGTATATAGAAAGAAACAGTAAAAACACCGACGAGAGAATAAAGTCGGAAGTTAACGGGAGGTACAAGACGGAAACAGGAAAGAATAGGGAGGATTAAAAAGAGACAGGAAGAAACGTCCTTGCTTTAGACTAGTCCGTATTGCTCGTAATTGTGCCCTCGTGCACACGGGCACCCGTGGAGAACCAGTAATGACGTGAAAGTGCATCTACGAGAAGCGAGGAGACAGGCAGGCAGGTAGACCGCCGTTCTCCTGGCAGTCTTGCCTACGTCCAGGACAATCCCCTGGTTCGTGGTCGGGCCGGCTTGGAGAAATTGTCTGCTTCTCGACGATCGAAGTGTTCGCCTGACCGAGGTGGCGAACGTCTCGTTCGCAGCGCGGTTGCTCAGTCACCTTTTTTTCTCGAGTGCGTTTTCGCTGCAGCATTGTCAAGTTCTTTTTCTTTTCTCTGATACTCGTGTTCGAAGGTGAACAATTTTTAGTGAGGTGATATTTCGACAGAATCTTTTTCCTTTTTCTTGCGAGAGAAACGTGGTCAGTTGGAAACGGAGTCAATTTCACTTGCATGTTCAACAATTTAGGTACGACATAAATGGAACAGAATCGATTTATTGTATTCTGAATGTTTACTATTTGTCAATTAATATTATTTATATTAATGCGATTGTTCATATATATTTATACGATATGTCTTGAATGTTGATATATTTACAGGAGAAACTATAAAAATTGCAATATATATGTGAATTATAAGTGTAAAAGCGATCTTTTAATTATGGAAAGATTATTAAAACTGAGACGAATGTTAGCAAGAACAAATAAGATTAATGGAATTGTGTTTCTTTCAAGATCGTTCACAGATCTTATAAGATAAATCTAGTATATATTAAGCTTTAAACCGTTACACACACATTACATTAGCTAGTTCTAATGAGGATGTTTTATGCATGAAGCTATATCACCATATGTGACTTGAGCAATTCCATATTTATTAATTATATTCTCCGACACGGATTTTGGATCACGAATGAGATAAAGTAATTCTTATAGATTTTTTATCATTGATTATGAATTCGTAAATGAAATTGTTTTATCACATCACATTTTTGAAAGTTCAAAAGTATATAAAAATGCTATTTTCGGCATTTTTAGATTCAATTTTTTCAAAAATGCAACATGATAGAGCAATTGCATTTACGAATTTATTTTTAACAATAAACAATCTGTAAAAATCACTTTGTCTTATTTATGATCTAAAAAAGAAATTTAATTTGTTGGACGTTGGATTGTATAATTATTTGACAATATATTAAGTTACGATTTTTATTTTAGTAGCCTCTATTTTTAGAAATTAAAATTAATCATATT